CAATATGTATTTGACGTTGATTACAGGTAAATGGTGTGCGGTACGCTTCCAGTTCATCCCAGAGTGCTTTGAGCTTGATGAAATATGTTGACAGTGCCATGGTTCCTTGTGACATCGTTGCTATCGAGTTTTGTATTTGAAAAATTGCTGGAGCATTCTTTTGTGAGAATTGATCGTGAAGATCAACCCACACTTGATGAGCTGTCTTGGCGTGAATAATGCCTTTAGCGATATCTGCTTCAACGGAATGAGTTAACCAAGATATTATCATACTGTTGCACTGATTCCAGAGTTCGAATTCGGTTGAATTTGCATCTTGGGACGGTTCCTCAATTGTGCCATCAATGAAGCCAATTTTCTTCTTGGCAATAAGAGCATGCATAACTGATTTCCTCCAGGATTGATAATTTGCTCCATTTAATTTGATTGGAACAAGTGAATATCCTGGCTGATCAGAGTGATGAATATAGTACGGATGTGTTAAATCAACATCCGAAATTTTGAAGCTAGATTTGGCTGATTCCGCCATAAAGGAAATTTTGATATTTAAGAACACCAAGATCGGTGCTCTGATACCATGTTAAGAATGAGAAATAGAAATAGAATTGGGATCGAAAGTATGATCTTCATTCAGGTTTACCACGTTTAAATAGGATACAAACTATCAACTAATACCTAAAAATAGAAAAATATATATCTAATTAAATCTGGTAAATAAATAAAATATACGGTTAATCAAATCTATACTAACAACTTTCTAAATATCTAAGATATATTCTAACCAATTCTCACGGCAAAATATCCTCTTAATACCTTGGTACACCAAATCGGTGAATATGTGTCTTTTTAGAAACTTGAGTACGGTCTTCCCATCGTTGGATGGAGAAGCTATTACTTCCACCCACTTGGACACATAGTCTACAACCACTAGAATTTAAATTCTCATGAGACCGCGGAAATGGTCCCATAAAGTCAATGCTTCATACATTAAAAAGTTCCACTTCTAAAATAAAATTCAAGGGTAGCTCATTTTTCTTACTAATATTTCTCATTCTTTGATTGATCACAACCCCTGCAAAATTCTTTAGAATTTTGAAAAGTTTTTGCCAAAAGAAACCCAATTGAAATACCTTAGATGCTGTCATTTGCCTTCGAAAATGGCCTCCATATGGGGATGCATGGCATTGTTCAAGAATTGTTGATATTTAACTATATGGAATGCATCTTCTCTCTATGCCGTCTCCACATTGCTTAAAAAGAAAAGGTTCATCCTAAATGTATCTTTTGGATTTGTGGAAGAACATCTTTCTTTGCTTGCTCTTCGGGTATGATGCCATAGGCTAAAAAATTTGCTATATCTGCATAGCATGGACTTGCTACCTCTTTGCTACTGCTACTGCTATTTATGCTGAGCAGCTGTTCATCATGAAATGTATCATCAATTTCTTTGTCGTTGCCTTTTTCCTTCATGTTCTCCATTCTAGATAGGTGATCCGCTACATGATTATTAGCTCCCTTAGTCCAAGATTTCAATCTCGAATTCTTGTAATAGTAGAATCCATCTAATCTTTGTCGTTGCCTTTTTCCTCCATGTTCTCCATTCTAGATAGGTGATCCGCTACATGATTATTAGCTCCCTTAGTCCAAGATTTCAATCTCGAATTCTTGTAATAGTAGAATCCATCTAATTAATCTTGGCCTTCCATTCAGTTTCATCATTAGGTGCTTGATTGTTGCGTAGTCAGTGTGCACCTTCACCTTTCCTCCAAATAAATAAGCTCTATATTTTTCAACTGCAAATACTACAACAAGTATTTTTTTTTTCAGTGGTTGCATAATTCAGTTGAGCCTCATTCAACATTTTGCTTGCATAATAGATAGGATGAAGTACGTTTCCTTTTTTCTTTCGTAACATTGCTCCCACAACATGGTCACTAGCATCACACATCAACTCAAATGGTGAATCCCAATCGAGTGTTGACATTGTATGGTCAACGCTGTCTTCAATGCTTGAAAAGCTGTCATGCATTGTTCATCAAAAAATAATTTTCTATTTTCCTCCAACAAGCTACACAATGGTTTTGCAATCTCGGAAAAGTCTTTAATAAACCTCTGATAAAACCCTGCATGACCAAAAAATAATCTTATACCTTTCACTAAAGTAGGGTGGATTCAATTTTTCAATGGCTTCTATCTTGGATCTATCAACTTCTATTATTTTTCTTGAGATTTTGTGGCCTAACACTATTCTCTCGTTGACCATGAAATGACATTTTTTCCAATTCAATACAAGATTATTTTCTTCCCATCTTTGTAGAACGTTTCATAGATTGCACAAACAAGTTTTAAAAGATTCTCCATAAACAGAAAAGTCATCCATGAATATCTCCATGAACGTTTCTACCATATCTGTAAAAATGGTCGTCATGCATCATCGAAATGTTGCTAGAGCATTACATGGTAAAGGACATTTGTTTAAAGGCAAAAATTCCATATAGACATGTAAATGTGGTCTTCTTTTGATCTTCTCGAGTTATTGTAATTTGATTGTATCCCACATAACTATCCAAGAAGCAATAATGTGACTTTCCAGCGAGTCTATCAAGCATTTGATCAATGAACGGTATGGAAAAATGAGCCTTACGTGTTGCTTTGTTTAGTCTCTATAAGGCATACAAACTCTCCACCCATTCACTATTCTAGTGGGGATCAGCTAGTTGTTCTCTTTTGTCATTATTGTTATCCCTCCTTTCTTGGGAACACATTGAATAAAGTTGACCCAGCTGCAGTTTGCAATTGGATATTTTATTCGAGCATCTAGCCATTTGATAATCTTCTTTCTAACAACCTCCTTCATCATGACATTGAATCGTCTTTATTGCTCAATGGATTTAAATTTTCCTTCGTCCAATTGTATATTATGCATGCATAGTGAAGGACTAATTCTTTTTCTATCTGCCAATTTCTAACTTATTGCCCCCTTGTGCTTTTTCAATGTTTCTAGGAGCATATCCTCTTGAGCCGAAGATAATGTTGTTAAGATGATGATGGGTAGTGTCTCCTTGTCACCTAAATATGCATATTTAAGGTTAGGAGGTAGTAGTTTCAAGTTCGGTTGCGGTGCTTCCTAAATAGATGGCTTCATCAATGAACTTTTTCTTCCCTCAAATTCTAGTGATTTAAAAGTTCGGCTAAATTCACCTAAAACTGTTAACTGTTCTGTTTTGTCATTCCAACTGAGGTCTTCTTCCTACTCACCTTCCCAACTATCTCATTCCTTCGTTGCTAGTTGTTCTACCAATTC